ATGAATATTCTGCCAGGGGTTTCTTTCTGGTTTCAAAATTTGTCTGTGATCATCCCAGATAAAACCCTAGCAGGAATACAGAAGATGTTGTTAGAATTTATATGGGGAGGGTGGGAGTGAGGAGAACCAAGAATGAGAGCAGATACTTTGTACAGACCCATTAAACAAGGTGGACGAGCTAGCTGTTCTAAATATTCTATGGTACTATCAAGCCAGCTGGCTCCAAAGCAATAGTGGATTGGTGAGTCTAACCCAGGCAACCACTGGGTCTTTATTGGATAAGAAAACTGTGACAGTGTAAACATTGCTATGCTACCATGAATTTTAAAAAAAAAAAAATCATGTCCTCCAGAAATTTACACATATTCTTTAGCAAAGGCTGCTCTATGGGTTTGAGAAAGAACTAGAGATAAGATCGGTTCTTTTACCTCATCAGTGACACTCATTGCAAATAAGCCAGAGCTTAACCCAAATTGCAGACCAGAGAGCTTCCAAGATTGGGAGAGCCATGGAATACACACAATTGGTCAGCTATTCAGTAAAGAAACATTTCTATTTATTTTGAGATCAAAACTAACAGGCCCACTCTCCCCTGATATTAGTGCTTTCAAGTTAGGCATTATGCTACTCAACTTTCTAGAAGACCTGTTTTATACAGAAAGCTAACTTTAAGAGAAACAATGGTGTCTGGTCATTCAGGAAAAAAAATATATAATTTATATCAATTTTTGCAGACAACTTTCCTAACAAAAAAATTACATGCTGGAAAAGGTATGTGGATATACAAATTAACCCAGAGGAGTGAGTCTGAGCTGGAAAAGAGGACCAGCAACCTCAGTGTATAGCACCATAAAAGAAAATTTCTTTAAGATACTGCTTCAGTGGTACCTAACACCGGTCAGCTTCAAACTCTCTCTCTGTGTGTATATATATATATATATATATATATATATATATATATATATATAAAAATGTTGGAGAAATTGTGGTGCATATACGGTGACCATGTCTAGTCAGAGAGTATTGGGATGCAATCCATAACCAAATATCACAAATGGTTGGATATTTATTACCAAATGATCCTTCGGTAATCCTCTTGGGGATACCTAGTGGAAGTGGTCACTCAAAAAGAAATGAAGAATTGATCTCTCATCTGCTAGTAGTTATTGGGAGCCTCTCATTGAAAAAGAAAAATAGTCCAACCATTGAGAAATGGTGCAAAAAATATGGGAGGTTGCGGGTATGGAAAAGTTAGCACACCAATTATGTACCCAGCAAAACAGAGGACAGAGAGATATTTGGTTACCTTTTATTCGCTAATCAAAGTACATTCACCTGCAAAAAAGCTAACACACCTGTCCAATTTTTTGGAATATCAACATTTGATAGACATACCTGGTCTGTTAAATGGGTACACAGAGATTTCAATCCATTTAATAAAATCACTAGAAAAGACATAGGTGTTGTAATGATGGTCACTCTGCAACACCCTGTTAAATAGAAAGAGCGGATGACTATATTCAGATACGTCTCTTTAAAGAAAAACTAACTGTTGTAATGATTGTTTTGTTTCTGACATCTACATGACAAGGATTTGTAAACTTATTAAAACTTCCTAAATAAATAATTTAAAAAAAACAAACCCCTCCAATGATGTGGCTTCTACAACCTCCCTTGGAAGCTTCCCATTGGCATGTAGTAGATGCCACTTTCTTAGTGTGGTGGGCCAACCTCACTACAAAGAAATTCAGAACTCAGGCTTTTAAAGCACAGTGAAGGAGTGTGTCAATTTCTCCAAAACACTAAAGCAGGAGTTTAAGGACTGAAAATGTAAGTTGATCATAAATCTTTGTAGCTGTGCATAAGTAGAGATGACACCCAAATTCTCAACTTTAGAACTAGATCCTAACTTTGTGCCTCGGTCTACTGCTAAAGTTGCACAGAACGGGAGTAATCAAATGTCACGCTTCAGGGGAAGGATGATCGCCTGTGGAATTCTTTATAACTAACGCCATCTCCTCCTTTCCCATAGTTAATATTTTGCACTGGGTCATCTGCTTTCTGAGCAGCTCAGATTAGTTTTCTCCTATGAACCATCAGAGAGTGACCACTGCTAGAGATAAGACCCTGAACTTGATGAGCCAATGATCTGTTGCAGTTTGACAAATCCTATACTAACCTTTCTACCATCACCAAAATTTAAAAAGAAAAATAAGTTTCATGATCAATAGCCTTTATTTTGTTTTATGGTGAGGCTCTTTTTTAATTTATTTAAAGGAGTGGAGCTACAGGAGGGAGGTTGTTTGCTTAGGTACTCACATTCTTATGAATTTTCTTTCATCTCATAAGGAAAAAAAAAATCTGAGCAGTCTCTCTTTAATTCAGAATGGAGAACAGACTTCCTGGTTTATGAAACATGGAGTTGAGGGGAATTAAGGTGGTCAGGAAATGTCCAAAAATACATTCACAGAATTCTGACGGGAGCTTGAAAAATCCTCTTGACTCATTCCATCCAGTACTTTCCCCACTCCCACAACAGGATCTTAATTTATAGAAAAGGGATAGAATAGTCCAAGTAAAGCCTAGGCACTAGACATTTCTGAGTATTAATCAGATGCCCACTTTGAGGCCCACATTTTCAAGAGAGCCCACATTGTTAAACATAACCTTCAAAAGATGTGACATTAAGCAGTAATTATCCAGTAGGCTCACCAGCTGCAATTTATCTGCCTGTGTGTCTATGAGGGGTGAGGGTGTGGGGGGGGCAGTGCATACACCATCTCTTCAGCTCTGCATAGGCAGCCACCCATACACACACACACACACACAAACGCCTTACCCCATCTACCCCTCCTCTCTGTGCTCCCCCTCCCCCGCAGACTTGTCCTCACTCCAGCACATACCATGGGTACACCACCTTGGGGTGAATGAATTAGGTACTGGGCCAAATGTTGGCCTCAGATGCAAAACATGGCTTCTACTGAAGTCAATCGGAGCAGTGTGCAGGCCCTGAAGGGCAGAAAATATCTCCTACATTTAGAAAGTATTTAAATAGAAGAAGTTTGAGATGATTGTTTGCTTTTAACAGGCAAAATTTAGAGACAACGTTCTTTTTGAATGCTGAGTCCTGCAGAAAGGAGACTAGGATTAAGGAACAAAGGAAAGGCAGTTAAAAGTTCTGGCTAAAAAAAAAAAAAAAAAAAGGGTGGAGTTGAATCACAATCTCTCTCACACGCAGTTTGAAGTTATTACGCAAAAGGAAACTGCCACCTCAGAGCTCAGGCCTGTCCAAGACCCATAGAATGGTCTTTCAGCTTTGTCTATACTCACCTCCCCCTACACCCCCAACATTCCCACCATTGCTGCCATCAGTCCACGTCCACAGTAGCAGCAACAGTTGGGATACTAATGCAGGCAAGGCTCTCACCACTTGCTGATGTTTTTAGACACCCTGTTACCTAGTCTTGCTCAGAGCAGGTGAGCAGGAGATGGCTAAAAACAGCATCATCTGCCAGCACATTGTTTACACTAGCACTACCACTATTTCACAAAACTGCTAGAGCCCTACAGATTCTCTTTGTGCCAGAAGGCCCCAGGATTGGGGAGTGAATAGGATCCACAAAGGTGGTTTTAAGATACTTTTGCCTCCACCAACTCTTGGGTTGAACACCTCTGGCCAAGCTATTCTGGTCCAGACACTACGTAAATCAATTTTTAACAATGCATCAGCTCCTGGTTATTTTACTGTTAATAACCAACCAAAAAAGTGCAAGAGATGGTCAGAAACTAAAATTCCCCCTAGTTTTCATAGTGCATGGCAACTGCACCTGTATTCCCACTCTGTGGTCCCTCGAGGGCACCCACCTCCTCAGTGGTCTTCTCTCTTGGGTGGAGACTTGCATCTCTCCCCCTCCTGACCAGGGTTATTCCAGACTGCAGTTTCCTGCCTACACTGTGATATCTCCAGCAAGCCAGACTGCCTAAACAGGCCTGCATCTTCACTTTTCTTTCCCTCCAGAGATCACCCCCACCTCATACCCCTAACTCCAGCGGAGCTCTCCTAGGAGTCAGTCCTTCAAACCTGACAAAGAGGTTTTTCCACAGCTTTAGCTCAGAAACAGAATCTCCCATGAATAGTGCAGTCTTTCCTTTATACAGGTTTGGCCATTGATCTTGAGACTCTGGGAAATACGTCATCAGCAGACAATGGCTCATTCCTCAGGGCATAGTTTAAGAAGGCTGGGTTTTTGCATAACCATAATTTAAGTTGCATAACGTTCACACCGCTTTGCCTAATACAGCACATCTTAAACAGTCTTGCCCAAATAGCATCCAAAATCTAATTAGAGATTAAGTGCCCAACTCTGCCTGTTTTATATGTTAAGGGAGAATTTGGTCCAAATCCTTTATACTTATACTCTATGAAGGCTGGAATTCTGGTTTTCAAACAGCATAAAACAATTCTCCAAGACAGAGGCGACTAAAAAGCACACGAGAATTAAAGTAGGGATAAAAAGCAAATCAACAGTATCAGAATGTGATTGTTAAGGTTCAACATTTCACAACCAAAAATGAGCAACTGTCTGAATATATAAAGCACCTGTTTCCAGCCTGATGGTTTGTGGAATATCAGACCAAAAATTATGTCAGAAGTACTTCGGGGTCACAGACTAGTAGTGTTTTCAGCTAAACAGATCTTGAATTGAACACACAAATCCAGACCTCATTTTTATGGTTCGTTTTTTGGGGAGGGATAGAGAAGGTGCCCTAATGAAAAGAAAATCTGGGAATGAATTTCCCTTATTCGGTATTTGGATTTAGGAGAATGGATAATACCAAATGTTAACTCCTCCTCCTGTGTGAATTGAGTATCTTAGTAGGGATTGCCTCCTTGATATATATATTTAGACACACACATGAAAAGCAACATTGGAGAAAATTTCCATGCATAGCTGGAAAATCATAACCACTGGAAATGAGGACTCCTTAGGAGAATGAAGCATGTTCGAAAGTTAGTTTTATTTGTTCATAAAGTCTACACATTACAACAAGCATATGTTTAGTTGCTGTGGACAAAAGCTCATTTCACTTTTGGAAGATCAATGAAATGTTAGCTCCAGAGATGTACAGTAACTAGAAAGCCCACATATGCACACACTATGCAGTTTTTACACTGCTGGAAGTTAACATTCATAGATTACAGATCCTTGAGATCTTTCTGGATGCTCCACAATGTATCTGCACTCTTCTTGAGTTGAGCCACCTCCTCATCCTTCAGCTTTTGGTTGATTACGCTTGTCAATCCAGAGGCACTTAACACACAAGGAAGGCTCAAGAAAACTTCATTCTCTATGCCATACATGCCCTGCCACAAACAAACAGAAAGTGGATCAAACAGGACACTAAAAACCAAAATCTGCTTTCAGTTACATTGGCATAAATCCAGAGTAAACGCATTGACCTCAGAGTTATTTTAGAGTTGCACCAATGTGACTGAACGTAGCATTTGCCCATAGGCTGCACATATAGATAGTTAGAAACCCTTACAATAAAATGATTGGCATTCCTGAGATTGGCTTTGAGATTAAAGGAGCAACAGTGCAAAGTGCCCACAACCTCTGCTCTGTCAGGGGACCTAGAGCTGGCTGGTGCAGCCCCCAACATGTGCAGGGCTGTCCTGGGAGATGTTGATTCAGTTCCTCTCCCGGAGGACCTCTGCCATGAAGATCCTATGGAGTCCCAGCTGGAATTTTAGGATTATTATCCCTTTGGGGCAAATCTTCCCTCAGATTCAGCTGCAGTCCACCAGAGACAAATTTGGCCCACAAATTAAAATTTTGCATTGGGTAAAGACAATACATTCTCTTTACAATTCCCGGTGTGTGTGTGTGGGGCGGCGGGGGGAAGGAGCGAAGAGGAAGAAAGGTCAGCTCAGCTAGTGGACTTTAAACCTACAATGGTAATTTCCATTATAATACTATCTCTAGTTCTTTTCAAGTTCATAGAGTAGTATCATTTTACTAGGATTCCTTCACCAAGAATTTAGCAAAGTCAGTAGAGTCCATGCATATATAACACGGTCATCATACCAGAATAAACTAAGCAGCTGATTGAACAGTCTCTCTTACCTTTACCATGGTTGACACTGGGTGAACCCGGCACAGATTTTTCAGCATAGACTCAATTAGATCAGCAACACTAAAGCCAATGGCCCAGTTAGTGTATCCTTTAAGTTTTATCACTTCATAGGCACTAAGAGAAAAGTGCAGAAGACACAATTATTTATATTAAGGGACTTTCAAGACATTTTCTGGATACTACATCAGTCTTGAGGTAACATTTTAAAATGGCTGAAGTACTGCAATACATTTAGTTATAGAACTTAATATCCTTACTCAATAATATTTTAGCACTGGGAGATAAGAGTGGAGTTTGCATAATCCATATTTTCAATATGTAAATCCAATTATACTATTGCTAGGTATTACACAGTACGTATTCTAATAATGGTAAGAACAGGGTACTGCTTTGTGATGGTAAGCAGAGAATATAAAATACAGATGTGACTAGCCAGATTCTTTACTTTAGTCAATGGAATCATTGCAGCAAAGAATTGGAATGACATTGTCTAGCTAATAAATTTAACAGGAGTACTTGTGGCACCTTAGAGACTAAAAAATTTATTAGAGCATAAGCTTTCGTGGGCTACAGCCCACTTCTTCGGATG